CAGATGCTTTTCATCCAGAAGCTGAGAAAAAGTCCCATGGACCCAGGGTGTACATAATATGAACAGATTAGCCACAATGAGCTAGAAATAGGAGACACATAAAGCATTATTATGACTTATACCAGGGGTGCTCAATCGGTGGACCTCTGATGCGGCCTGGGACCTCATGCTCTGGGATGGTGGGTTGGAAAGCCCAGATTGCAGGTTGCCAACCCACCATCCCACGGCATCAGAGTGCATGGATCTGGCGCCGACAGGGGAGGAAGCAAGCGGCTGCAGAGAGAGCAGAAGCTGATGCTTCCTCTGTAGCTCTGGCTCCTGTCCCAAGTGCGCTGCCAAGTGCGCTTCGTCTGAGATCTTTCTAGCAGCCTAGCGATGCCAGCAGAACCTGGAAGAGAAAAAGGTCAGTTTGCTAAGCATAACATAGTTTTATAATGGGCATATTAACACTTTCAAAAAAAGGGTATTAGGCTGCTTTCACACTGATTCGCAGGCGCAGGGCAGTGCACCTGTTGCCTTCTTGCAGGTTAGCTTCACTGAGCCATACACTTCTATTGTATCCTGCGAGTTTGCTGTGCTTTCAAAAGTGTACTACACCTGAAAGATATGATAGAAGTATATGACAAAATGCAGCCAACCCACATGAAAGCAGCAGGTGCACTGTGCTACATCTGTGCGGTAAACTGCAGTGCATCAGTGTGAAAGTAGCCCTATAGGGCACTCATGACAGTAAGGAATCATTTACATTTGTGGCTTGGAGGGGGGATAAAACCCAATAGTTGAGATGTGCTTTTACCAGAACCCCTCCCCCCCAACTACAGGTGTAGTGACCCCACTTCATGCTCCAGGGGGCCCATGCAGCCTCCCTGTAACATTCAGTTTAACACTTGGACTGGAGGGGTAGCAGGGGTGGCATGTACAGGAACCAATCCTCTTCATCTTTCTTCTGCAACTGCTGAAATCTGGCTTCTCCTGCCGACATTCAGCGACTGCAGGAGGAAAAAAAAAATCTAAATTCTGAACCATTTCATTGTTGCCCATGACCAGTTACCAAATCACTCAGGTGGCTCTCACTTTTCTAAAAGATGAGCACCCCTGACTTATACATACCCTTTAGGCAATCTGCTGGTGAACATGATTGCTCAGGGAGATGGAAGGAGAGTTCAAAACCACAAGAAATGCATGTAACAGAATTGCAACAAGGAGGGTGGCACTCCTTTGTAACTACCCTGACCAGTGTTTGGACCTATAATCAAAAACAGAGCTCTTACCAGAATAGTTACTGATAGAAAAATAATCAGAGTGTGACTTAAAATCTTAGTGTGATATCAAAATTAGATAAATTGGTTACCATTGCAGACTCTAGAGCAGTTGACACAAAAAGCTTAGATAATGGAGAGGAACTTTATTAATGAGGAAGCAAGCTACACATAATTTACTCAATGCAAGATATACCTTTGAACGACTACAAATCTCAAAAGAAAAAAAAAAAGATTTTAATCAGACTGTGGTTATGTATGTAGCTGTATGAGAAAGGATGGCCGACTCGATAAAAAAGAAAATTGTCCACTAGATCATATAGTTTTTATTTATAACTATCTATTTGTAAAGAGGACAGCATTAAAGACCCACCAGGTTTCAGATCTGAAATTTCAAAGATGACACATTTGATATTCCAAAATAAAGACATTTGATATTCCAAAATAGATACAATTGATAATGCTTGGCCTGGCATATCTGAAGACAAACAAGTAGTGGAAAACTGCTAAGTCTCAAGAAAGCAGATCAGAAAAGATTTTGTTGTCAGATGATAAACACAAACTGCCAAAGAACAAGCTAGTCATGGATGTCTTTGATATTACAAACATGCAGATGCGATGGCATTGAAAAATACACTTACTGAAACAAAGATTCTTATATATTCTGTCTTTGTTTACCTTGCGGTATTAAGGGTTTGCAAAGAGACTGCAAATTTCCTGTCTAGACTACATTTGCCTAGTCATTTTTCAGTATTATCCTTCCATATTCCTTGGCTCTATCTTTTTTCAGATTTCCTCATACAGTATTTTGCAATGGGCAGACTATCCCATGCTAATTACTAATCCAAAACTACATACTGGATTATCTTTGTCTTTGGTCATGATCTCTCTTTCCATGGCTGTAAGTTCTTGTAGACTTTTGTAGAAATCTTTTTGCCAGTTGCTCAGATAAACCATTTTCCTGTGTCTGAGAATATTTTCATTTATCTAGGTTATAGTGTAACCAATAGATAGTCACACTTGTTGAAAATGTTTCAACAGTCATTCTGAGTTCAAATGAGTATGAACTGATGAAGCCACTTGGATAAGTGACACAACGTCTTCAACATAACAGAAAATGTTTTCTTCTGATTTCAAAGCTATGCCAGTCCTTAGCAATATGAACTATAATAGTACCATATTGTTTTCCTGTCTTACTTTAGCTGCTATGTTCGGTGAGTAGCTCTAACTGATACTATAACATCTCTGCAAATCCTAAGCACTGATTGATGCTTCTTCTTTTAAAAAGAAAGAGAACTCTTGAAGCTGTGCCCAGAAAAAGGGAGTCGGAGGATAAAAGGCTATTCACCAGTATTGCCTGTGGTCTTGAAAATGATCATTCTCCAATATTTACTTGCCAGGCCCTATTCAAGCCTCTGTATCTGTTTGAAGGTGGCTATCTCGGTAGAGGCAAGGTGCTGCTTCCTCATGTTAGAGCCTCCAGCAAGAAGAACAGTGAGTAACCTATTGACATGACCAAATCTTTCTCCAAACTCCCTACAACTAGCAGTCAGAGGCAGTAGTGACTTAGGTTTGCACTGAAAATAAAAAGCTATGAGGCAGTAGGCATAGGAGTGACTAGACACCTTCACATACCAGGTAGTGCACTATTAATGTTAGAAGGAATTTAAGACAAAGGTCAATGTTTTTGACCACTGCTTAGACAGATTTTCTAAATGTTTCCAAAACATACCAAATCTGAAGTTTTTTAGTTCAGGTTCACATTACAATCCCTCCACAGCTCTTTTCATAGTACACAAATGAAAGCTTTCTCTATACTCTACCATCTTTTCTGAGGTTTGTGTCAGGGTAAGGATCCACTTATGGGTACCTTGAATGGGCCTATACCTTACAAGAATTTCCCTCTTTAGGTGCTGTCCAATCACTCCTGGTGTCAAGTATGACTGAGCAAATTATTCCTCTAACCCTAGGTCACAGGCAACAGTGGTTTTGCCAATTTCTCTCATCTTAAAAATTTGCATTATTCTTGAAACTTCCTAGCCTTTGGAAACTTTTTTTCAGTTCATGCCAGTCTTAACACCTCCAACTAAAATGCTCTATCTGCTGCCCTAAAATGTCGACATTTACTTCCATGCATCATTTTCTTTAAAGCATGCTTCAGTTCTTTTATCATTGTTATTTTTTTCTGCTTTCACTGCAGCCACTCCCGTCACTTTTTGTTTCTGTCTTTTTCCCCCAAGGTTCACTTACTAGCAACTCTTAAATGTACATTTTTCATTATTCTATGTTTTCCATTTTATATGTTAGGAGCCTTCCTCTGTTATCTTTAATGAATTTCAATAGACATTCTTTTTCTCATCCCAGGCTTTAAGAACCTTATAAATCAGCTTTCAGTTCTCAATAAAACCTTCATCCAAAAAATCCTTAAACATCTCCCATGGCAATTGTTTTGCAGTTTTTACTATTTTCTTATTGGCATCTTGCTATCAGTTATGCTCTTTAAGAATTTGTTCAGTCCTGTCTCTTGGGTGTTTCTTTCTCCAGTTTTTCCGCTTGCTTTCAGCTTCTTTTACTTTACTTATCCATCATGAAGTCTTCTTCCAATGGTCATCTGCTGTGGTATCAGGTTTATTGAAAGGCCGAGACATCTTAGCTTATTGTTATGGATAAAGATTAGCTAGTATAGATCAGATCCCAGTACTGATAGCATTTATTACTTATAATATGCATGGAGGCCCTGAACTGTGGGAGCTGTGTAAAAAAAAATCAAGCAAAAGGAAAGGACTATTCACCTGTATCATCTACGTGCTCCCTGCTGCTGCTTTTTTCCCCATTGTTTAGGTAAGATACCTTGTACTGCACTGTGTATCTATACGGAGGTGGCTATCTTGGTGGAGGCAAGTGTTTGTTTCCTGTTCCCCTAATGACTTGTAATTTGATGACTGGCGTTGCAATGTTTAAGAAGCAGCAGAGGTGGATGAAACACAGATCCACAAAATGAATGAAGCAGAAGCAGGGAGATCCCTACACTACAGGTTTTCAGGTACAGCTACCTCTCAGTCATCAACACAAAAGTGACATCACCAATTCTCACTCCAAGTTTCCTGAGATGAACAGTCAGAAAAAGCAGTGCTTTAGATTCCATGCTTCAGGTATACAGCTATGATGTTTAACCTCCCTAGCGGTCTGATTATGTCCATATTTCTGTGCTCAAAGCGGTACCATTTTTTTGCATGGAAGTATGTATTTTGTTTATTGTAGGCCTGTAATTTTTAGGAAAAACTCACTGAAATCTGTCCGAACAAGAGTCTAGTAAACGGGTAAGTTAAAATTTGAAACATGAAATCATAAATTATAATTTAATAAATAATCATAAAAAATAATATAATAATAAATTTAATTCAATAATATAATCAAACAAAAAAAAACACTGAAATTTGAAATATAGCGCCAAGTTCACACATCACTGAGCAAAGTCGCAAGATCGTTTTCAGTGTCTGATGACGAATTTCCCCACGAATCATTATCACTCAATTCTGCAAGTAGTTCTAATTTACTATCGCTGTTCTCTAGCTGGTCTAAAACCGCTTTTGACCTAAAGGGATGCTTTTTGGGCACCATTGACTTTTCTCAGTTTCCAGGCAGAAAGAACAATAAAAATGTAGGCAGGGCACAAGACAAAGCACTAGGGACAAAATGTATGTGAAATGGTTTGATACAGTAATGTTTTACTATGTGATTTTAGTGAATTTAATGAATGTCACTTTTTGTCATTTTCAAATTTCCCGCCGTTCCGTCCCCGTACGTCCCGACGTCGCAGGGGACGGAACCCAGAAGACAGATGCCGGCATCTGCTGGAGGACATTACAGGGGACACTACAGGAGGGACATCACGGAGCGCAAGACAAGGTAAGAGAAGAACAGATCCCAGAGCAGCGCCGCATGGTAAGCCCGAGTGTAGCTCGGGGTTAAGGCTTGTGGTACTGAAATTTTACCCCGAGCTACACTCGGGAATACCGCCAGGAAGGCTATGGCACAGGAAATGCACTGCTATTTTTCAGGAGAAATTTACACCAAAAGGTAAGTCTCAGGGTAGTCATTAGGCATATTTACCTTTCTGGATCTTCAGTTTTTGAATTTAGGTCCTTTTCAACAGCTTCAACAAAGCTTACAAAACATCAGGTCACCAGGTCAAAGTAAATCACAACCTGGAATAATTGGCCCAAAACTTAAAAGACTTTCTATCACAATTACAAGTTAGGACAGTGCTAGAGAATGAGTCATTGCCTCCATCCTAATTACATATTTGATAAATTAATGTTTATAATGCTTCAATCTGCTGATTCTTTTGTGAGTAAAGTGCACTTAATTGAGTTGATTTACTCAATTAAAGAGAAGAGTATGTTTATTTTTCAAAGTGAATTTTCACTTTGCAAGGGAATTTTCACCTTGCTTAGTGAATGCGGTGAAAATTAACTTTGTTAAAAATACCCAATCACATGCAAGACAATTTATTAAAAAAAACAGTATTTTTGGTTGCACATGATTGATGATAGAAATCAGCAGAGATTCAGCTCAGGCTAAATTACCTTGCTACTTAAAAATTCACTTTGCTAAATGTACAACGCCCCTAGTAAATCGGCCCCAACACATTCAAATGTAATTGGTTAAAGCAGTAGGTAAAATTGAGGTGTATTTCCACTTTTGAAGCCAAATTGGGATAACGCCTACTTTATATTTGTTACACATTCTCATTCACATAGCATAACTTATGTTAATGAGAGGAAGCTGAGCCTATCCTAACCTTTATATTTGGACAGACCTACTCTGAGATTGTTCAGAAATGCTTGCAGTCTGCCATGACAAGTTCTCCCGTGGAATATTTAAAAGGTAAATCATTTTTAAAAAATATAGGTATACTAAACATATAGTGGTGGTTTCTTACTTTGACTGCAAAAGCAGACATACACTTAAAGCAATACTTGGGAAACTAGCTGAATCCTTTTTCACAGTTTTTTCTATGTTAATAACCCTGCATACATTTCTCATTTATTTCGGTAGTAAGATATGATTTGCTTGATAAAAAACTTTTAGGAGTAAAAAATATTAAGTTATGAAAAATCCTTTTAGAAACTGGCTTGAGTCACTGAGCTGAATACCAGGGTTGAATACAGCGTCTGTCTACCTTATTTTGCCTGTACCTGGATAGTTGCAGCCATTGTAGAAACTAGAAAAACATTTTTTGGGATATAGAAAATTGTTCTTGCAATTGCTGGAATGATTTTAATGTATCTATTGAGGAAACGATACAATGGAGCCATTTTAGATGCAAATGCCAATACACATTTTCTAAGATAAAATAAAGATTCATGATTATTCTCTTGTGGGTATGTCCAGTTTGTACTGTGTATTTGCTTGGTTATTGTTTATGTTTATGATTTGCTTCTCCTCTTTGCCCCACTTCTTTTTCTCCCCCCTACCTCTCCTCCTCTTCCCCCCCCCCTCCTCAGGGGTTTTCCTCCTCTTTCCTTTTTTCTCTCCCCCCCCCCCCCCCCCCCCCATCACTCAGGATGACCAGTTGACTCTGTATGATCTTTAGCGTTGGAATGGCATGTGTATTGTATTTCTACTGATTGCCATGAGTTTGCCTGTTCTTATGTACCTTGCTTTGTTATACTTCTGTACGATTTCAATAAATGCAACTGTTAAAAAAAAAAATACAGATTCATGACAAATAGTTGCTTTAATATTTTAATATCTATTGCGCACAAAATAATTTTAGAGCTTTGCAATATTTATATCTGTGAATTGGAAACCGATGAGAATATGTAATTTGATGTAAATTAACTCTGCAAATAAAAAAAATTCATACATTATCCTAATGTGTTGATTTCAGCATAGCTAAAAGTAAATTTTAATTTCAATTGTCAAGTTTCAATATAGTGCTATTTTTTTCTCTTTTATTCACAAAGGGGATGTGCTATATTGAGTTCCCTATTATAATCTAGCCATATCGACTGTAAACAGTTGCATTGTTTGTAAGTTGCTGTGTAATTTGGTCCTATGTCCTATGTAGCATAAGGTGGTCTTGAGTTTTGTCCATGTAGTTCAATGCCTTTTCGTTGCAAGGTCCTCAGTATAAAAGTTACCTTCACATCTAATGCCTAGTACACATGATCAGAAAATAGGACGAAAAATTCCACTTTCAAAGTGATTGTACAATAATCTGATCGTTAGTACACAGCGTTCGAGAGCCGATCACGACAGTTCATGCAAAATTATCCAAAGGGACAAACACAAAAACTTTTCTTGTACAATACTAGAACAAACTATTTTCGTTTAATCAGTAAAGTATTAATCCGAAAAAAATCGGATGATTATTCTTTCATTTCATGTGTGCTCAGAAATGAAAGAATATGTTACAATACAATACATTACATCACTTCCGAAGTTGTATTCTTCTGTATGAGAATTTTCATAACTTTTGTAAGTTTTGATATGACACGATCATGCAGAAAGAAAACAAACTATCATTCGTGTGATATTCTCATCATGTGTATGAGGCTTAAATTTATGTGCATCTTCGTTGGCTAGCCAGAATCCAAAGGTACTCCAAAGTCTCTTTTCTATAGCCAGTCTAAGTGTTCAGAAGCTGATATAAGAAAACACTTAAAGGATAAGTTCACCATTTTGAACATGTTACACCCATATTATGTTGAGCAACCTGCCCCCACACACCCCCAATCCCCCCCTTCCCCATGACAGCGGGCAGAGGATCCTCTCCTCACACCTGCTGTCAGATTTCAAAAACATTGCGGCAGATGGCTTGCAGTTCTCAATGAACTAGGTGGGCACTAGTGCGCGCTCTCGTAGTTCATTGAAACTTCCTAAAGCTTTCAAACAGAAAGCCCTACAGAGGTACAGGCATAAAAGTGTAGCAAGTGTCTGCAGGAGCCTGACATTGCACCCATGACAGGGGCGGACTGACCATTTGCAAACTCGGGCACTGCCCGAGGGCCCGGGGTCGGTAGGGGGCCCCATGAGATGCCCCTGGTACCTTTTTCATAGGCTTTTTTTAGTTTGGGCAAGAAGACAGGGGCCCCATGATCCCCTATTGCCCAGGGGCCCCATGAGTTATCAGTCCGCCCCTGACCCATGATCTGCTGTTTGCAGGTGTAATGCTTTGCAGACTCCTGAGAAAAATAAATGCACATTTTTTACCTGCAAAATGTGCATTTATTATTTTTTTTTGTAAAAGCTAACTTTGCCTTTCAAGAGGAACTTTGGGCATGTTTGGAAAATTTGGAAGTCAGTAGTTACAAGTACTGCAGCTACTGACTTTTAAGAAACACATACAGTACTTACCAGCCCATTAAATTCAGCCCTGTTTTTTAACACTGCCGGCTCTCCTTACAGTTCCAGTTCCGCTGACCCACCATTTTGGTTTCAGATGACTCACAGCCAGCCCCCTACTGTGCATGTGTGAGACACAGCCAGCAGCGAGACTGGTCCTATAGCCTCCTATGATGTGTAACGTTATTCAAGGAAGCTGCAAGTGGATTGAGCTGAGTATACATCATCCTTACCCAGGTGAGAAATAAGAAAGTGGGAGTGAGTACCACCAAAAAAGGTACTCGCTCCATGAAAAAAAATTTTATTTTTTAAATATGGGACTCCTGTAAATATTTGGTATCATATCTCACCATCTACTCCTATTACAGATATTTGAACGTCCTGTCTTCTTCAGGGTAGTCTGGCAAGACCGCTTTTCACTGGTGGATTGCACCTGGTTTCACCACCATATACTCAATGCTGAAGGCGAAAGGCATGCTATCTTTTGCACAATTTCAGGGACAATACCAGACCCCCTCAAATGGGCTACCTACAGCTCAGCCACTTTATTAGACCACTGATACCTAATACCAACTCTCCAAGAACTCTAACCAGTTTTGAATCTCTTTGTAAATCATCTGCTACTACTAGAGGAGCCCTTACTTTTATAAAGCCCTTTGAAACCGTGTTTCTGAATCCTTACCCGCATACTGAAAAAGACCTACAGGAAACTTTAACATTAGAGCAATGGGTGCCAATCTGGTAATCAGTTGTAAAATGTTCCCATAACATACAGGCCCTGCAAAGTTCTTATAAGGTCCTCTCCTGATGGTATTTTACCCCTGCACATATAGCAAAATATGTCCCTGGCTATGATACCTCTTGTTTTAGACGATGTAAGACCGGGGGTACTATGTACCACATATGGTGGTCCTGCCTGGTGGCCCGTAGACTGTGGCTACATGTTTATAACATGATCTGCTCAGTCACACAGCTTAATTTACAGAAAAACCCAGGTGAGGCCCTTCTACTCAAACGGATCATGCGTTCTTCTTCATGGCAACAAAACAGACCATAGCATGTGCGTGGAGGACATCAGGTCTTCAATTTGAGGAAGTCAAATCCAGAATTCAAGGATTTCATGTTAATGAAAAACTGACAGCAATAGTGGAAGACAAACATGATAAATTTCTCTTTGTCTGGCAACCCTGGTTGGGTTACCAACCAGTATCCCGCTTTACAACATGATTACTCCATCTTTGACCCTTGAACGCTTGAGCTACCTCTTCCTCCAGAAATCCCTTTTAGGGACAGAAGAACAACTGCTATCATCCCATGGCGAACCCCCCCCCCCCTTTTCTTTCTTTTTTCCCTTTCCTTCTTTCCTTTTTCTGTTCTCACTCTCTCTGTGCCACTATTTGATAGGATTCATACTCCAGGGGCCGTTATCCTCTTCCTAGGAATTTAATCCAATTAATGAGATTAGATAATATTTTACAACATTTCAATATGTCTTGTTGAACTACTCCAACCCCACATTCACATTTCCACATACAAAATTTTTAAGTCCCTCTTTTTCTTATTGTCACTACTGTTTGCAGGTGTCCATCATGGGGACCAGGTTGCTTGATCTCTTTTAGAGATGTATCAGTATAATCTATGTACAGTGGGGATCGAAAGTTTGGGCACCCCAGCTAA